ATGTTTGTCTGTACCATGTAAAGGGGTATAAAATCCCCTGGAACTGGAATTACAGACAGTTGTGAGCTGCCATGTGGGTGCTGGGAATCGAACCCAGGTCCTCTGAAAGAGCATCCAGTGCTCTTGACTACTGAGCCCTTTATCTTCTTGAGACAGACTCTTTCACTAAACCTGGAGCCCACAAATTAGCTAGGACCCAGCCGGCCACTGAGCTCCAGGGATCCACCTGTGTCTGAATTCCCAGTGCTGGGATTATAGACTATAGCTGTCCAATTCCTACCTGGGTACCAGGATGCAAACTCACATTCTTGTGTCTGTACGTCAAGCCCATCACTACTGAGCAGTCTCCTGAGCCCTCTGGTTCAGTTCCCGCTTGTCAAATGGTGAGGAGGTTACTCTTCAGCTGGGCTGTGTAAAGAGCCCATGAGTTGTTAGCTGAAAATCACTAAACCTTGCCCCGAAGTGGAAGGAGGTGAAATTCAGAAAGGATGTAGAGAAAGTAAGAAACCACTGGGGAAGGCACACCTGTGGGGAAGAGGTTCATCCTTGGATGGAAAGCCCCAGACTGATCACTCACTGATTAATGCTTATTTATTTTGATATAAGGTGGAGATTTATGGGAAGAGGTCACCCAACCTCTGGTGTCCATACAGGGACTCAGGGAAAGAGTGCACACACATACAAATGGATACACTACCATGTAGTCCTGGCTGGCCTAGAACTCACTATGTAGACCAGGCTGGCCTCAGACTCAGAGATCTGCCAGGATCGACCTCCCTAGTGCTGGGGTTAAAGGAGTGCTCAACCAGACACAGCTATTTATTAATTTTGAAATAGGGTCTCATATATCTCACGGTGGTCTCAAATTCAGTCTGTAGCTGAGAATGACCTTGAACTTCTGACCCTCCTGCCTCTACTGCTAGGATTGCAGGCACACGATGCCACATCTGGTTTATGTGGTTCGAGGGAATGAATCCAGGACCTCATTCAGGCAGGCACTCCACAACCGAGCTAGACCCTCGTCTGAGGGCCTAGAACTGAGTGTAGATCTGTGTTTGTGTGCATCTGTTCGGGGGCCCCTGTGTGTGTCCATAGTCTGTGTGTCCATAGTCTGTGTGTTCATAGTCTCTGTGTGTCCACAGTCTGTGTGTCCATAGTCTCTGTGTGTCCACAGTCTGTGTGTCCATAGTCTGTGTGTGTCCACAGTCTGTGTGTCCACAGTCTGTGTGTCCATAATCTGTGTGTGTCCATAGTCTGTGTGTCCATAGTCTTTGTGTGTCCACAGTCTGTGTGTGTCCATAGTCTGTGTGTCCACAGTCTGTGTGTGTCCACAGTCTTTGTGTATCCACAGTCTGTGTGTCCATAGTCTGTGTGTGTCCATAGTCCATTTGTGTCCACAGACTGTGTGTGCTTCCTGGCCTTCTTACCTTTGCATAACTGAAAACTTTGAATGTGCCTACTCGAATGAAGTGAAAACGAGAACGAACTTAAAGGAATGAGGGTAGAGGGTGGCGAGGGCAAAGTATAGGGATATAAGTGTGTGCAATCATGTTCGTGTCTGTGACCACATGCATGTGCCTGTGTGCCTATGTGTGTGTGCATTCGTTTGTGCGTACGAATGTGTGCATGTGTGTGTGACCGTTGTGGGGGGGTGAGTGTGGGCATTTGTGTGTTTGTGAGTGTGTGTGAGTGCGTGCGTATGTGTGTCGTTCATGCTTGCATATTGCTGTGTAGGAGTGCAAGGTGAGTCTTGGTATAGGTCTGAGGAGGGCTTCTATCACGTCACTGTCCTCTGAAGCTGCTGTCCCATTTCCCAGCCTGTTCCGCGGGATCTCTCAGCCTGAAGCTCTTTTTGAATCCAAGCTACGTTCAACTCCAGGATGTCTGAAGGAGGGAGCTAGTGCCCTCTAGTGGGAAAAGACAGACGGGCAACTATGGGCAACCTCAGGCTGTAAGCCAGGGCATGGAATTTACTTCTGAAACTGCCCTGAGGAAGGTCTGCGCCACCCAAGAACTAAGGTCTGGCAGGCAGGAGAAAGGTTTCTATGGGCAGAGACGGAAAATGAATCCATGGATTTGTGCAGGAGAGGACAACAGCTGAAGGTGGCTGGTCTCTATGCTCACACCCAGTCCCTTTTGTGGGCATCACATCTCTCTAGTTTGTATCTAGGCTGTAGCACACTGTAGTTTGTGTCTAGGCTGTATCACACTGTAGTTTGTATCTAGGCTGTAGCACACTGTAGTTTCTATCACACTGTAGTTTGTATCTAGGCTGTAGCACACTGTAGTTTGTGTCTAGGCTGTATCACACTGTAGTTTGTATCTAGGCTGTATCACACTGTAGTTTGTATCTGGTTGTATCACACTGTAGTTTGTATCTAGGCTGAGGCACACTGTAGTTTGTATCTAGGCTGTATCACACTGTAGTTCGTATCTAGGCTGTATCACACTGTAGTTCGTATCTAGGCTGTATCACACTGTAGTTTGTATCTAGGCTGTATCACACTGTAGTTT